CAGCGCCATCCATCGTCTGGGTGCGGGAGAGTTCGCGAAAGGGTGGGCAAACAGTCCGTTCCCAAGCTTAAAGTCATTGATTTGCTCAAGGCGTATAAGCAGTTGGGCCTATCAGTGGATGCGCTCCAAGATAGTTTCTTGTGCGTGCCCAACCCGGCCACGGGCAAACCTTGCGTGCACATGTGCCATGTGCTGCCCTTCGGGGCGGCGGCTTCTGTCGCCGCCTTTTGCAGGACGACAATGAGCCTGTGGTACCTAGGGTGTGCAACACTCCTGGTACACTGGACAGTGTTTTACGACGACTTCATTATCGTCAACGAAGCTGCATCTACGAAACATTGCGAACTAGTCCTACGCAACCTCTGGAGCCTTCTTGGGTGGTCAGTTGCACAAGACAAAGAGACTGAGTTTAATTACTTTGCGCGGGCTTTGGGAATCAAGATCTGTTTCCACTCCGAGAGACTCTTTGTCGTGGAGAACACCCCAGAGAGGAAAGCTGAGCTGGAGGAGACCATTTCGAGTCTTCTTGCACTTGACTGGGTTGACCAGCATGCGTTAGCTTCCTTGCGTGGCAGGTTGCAGTTCGTGGAAGGTCAAATCCACGGAAGGCGCAGCCATAGGCACATGCAACTTCTCTCGCGTCGCGCCGAGTTCATTGGTGGCTCGGCCATGGACGATGATCTTCGCAATGCTCTGGGGTTCCTCTTGCTTAGGGTTGTAGGTGCCCCCCCTAGGGTAGTCTCCGCGCGAAGATGTAGCCTCGGATGGTAAGCCTGTCCGTAGCTTTGGCCTGAGTTTCTGCGAGCACTCACTTGATGTGATCAGGTTCTGGGAAAACAGTAGCCCGATTTACTTCTTGGAAGGACTGGCAGTCGTCGCGGCACTGCACAGGTGGGACAGCCTCATCGGAGGCTCTGAAATAGTGTGCTTCGTTGACAATGAAGCTGCTAAGTCAGCTTTTATTGCAACGAAGTCCCCGTCAGATCAGTTCGGACTTCTTCTCGAGTGGTTGGTAGCTTGGGAGGAGCGACACAGCACCTTTCCGTGGTTTGAGCGCGTCAGCAGCGCCGCTAACATAGCGGACGGTCCGTCCAG